ATAGACCAAATGGCTCGATGAATTTTGGCATGAGAGGTGTCGTTGAATTCATCTTAGTTGAGCGAGTGATACTGGCATTTTATAAAGTGGTGGATTTTAATGGGAGAGATCAACCTTGAAATTACTATTTCAGATTTACCGATTTTGACATATTAGGTGTTGTTGGATTGGACTTAGCAGCACGAGTGACCCTGACTCTATTAAAATTTCATAAATACAAAATGGCGGATTTGATTAAAAGATCAACCTTGAAATTCCTATTTCACAGGCTACAGCTTAAACGGCTTGATGGATTCTGACATATGATATGACCCTAGATATCTCTTGATAGCACTACTAAGTCTTCATTCTTTGTATTTTCTAAAGATATACTTACTTTTTAGTCATTTATGCGCATGTTAAAAAAGTGCCCCTTACAATACAGGGTGTTAAACATTTTTTTCGGATGGTTTTCTAATTACCTGGGGTACAGAAGATTAGAATTTTGCCAATCTGAACACATTTAGTTAGTATAGTGGTATAGTTGTAAGTTAGCATTATTATACACTTTGTATATTTTTGTATCTGCGTTACATAACCAGGCTAAGGCCAAAAATGTCTCCAGCCATTTGTGGTCCTTTACTATGTAGTCACATCTTTATTCTATTATGAATCAATGCTCCATAATATTTAAGCATTCATGCAAAAATAACACGTCTGTAACAACTGGTAAAGGTGTAGGCAAACTTGGAACATAACGATAAAAAAATGTATATGGCAACTGCATCTATCTCAATGTTGCAGTTTTCTAGCCACCTTTTCCAAGAAGTAGCTTTGCCTTTTTACGGATGATTTACCATCTTGCATAATGTTAATTAAATATTAGCTACAAGAGGGAACTTGAAAAATGATAAAGTAAAAACATTTGTGGGCGAGCACAATCCACTCTTTCCGGAAACTTTATACGACAGGTTCGCTGTCACATGTTAAAACTGTCAAAAAGTCATAGTTCTATCTGTCTATAGGCCTACGTAATACGAGGAGAGCCACGTATAGCAACACCAAAAAAATAGAATAGAACTACGGATAGTAAAATCTTGTGAAGGGTTTGAAACGTATGTACATTAATACTATTAATAAAATGTTCTGATGTGTTTAAATACTTTTTATATAGCCTAACTAGCATAGGTATCTTTTACATCGATTTTATTGTTTAAGTTATTAACGTATATGTAAATTTAGTGCTTTTTTGTTTTGTTTGGAGATCCCTGAATAGGGAAATCAATTATTTCGAAACCACGGCAGCTTTACAACAGGAAGCTGTGTTTAAATACAAAAAAGTCATATAACAGAAAAGTAGTAACTGTTTGAAAATGTATTGCATATTACGAGGTGTGAGGCTAAGCTGCAACACCCTGCCCCATGATTGTTTCATAAATTAAAGCGGGGATTAGATGTGTTCCTGCTACCTTTACTAATGCTTTTTGTTATACAGAAACGCTACTTCGTTTACGACTCAAACACAAATCTCAACGGCCACAATAGCTTCGTTCAAAGTAAAGCGGTTCGTTCGCGATTATGTAGTAACCATTAAGTGCACACCCGGAGGCAAAGACCGCTCTGGGCGCTTTGTCATTCTTCTTGGCAAGACGCGGCCACAGACGGCCTTTGGGTGGGAGTCCCAGTGGCGCGCAATGTTTTTAAAGCAATTATACTGAGACAAAATCATTTTTAATGTAACACCTGAAGCTTATCCTGTGGTTTTTATGTTGATAGAACTCCATCATGATTTGACCAAATGAAACCGCAGATGTACTGATTACTATTTGTTGGCGTTCCGACCACCAATGTGCCCTTTTTCATCATATCGATTTTTTTTATTTTTTTTGAAGATGCGTCGTGTAAAAGGAGCAGAGCCCAGGATCGCCCCGGGGTAGGCACTCCCGTTCCCAAAAGACATTCAGTCATCCAAAGTAACAAGCGATACGAAATCGCCCTTCGACACCTCAAAGGCACCATGCTGTTTGCGTTGTGAGGAAATAATATATCACACAACAGTTTAGCCTTTAGATGGTGAAACAAGACATCTGCGCACTTGGGATTCAATAACAAACCATAAGAAAGAACATCATGGAATTAAAAAATGTATAGTCCATCAGTCAATTATATCTTTCATTCAAGGATACTCAACCACACTGGGTCACAATCTACACGGGAAAGGAAAGACAATTGTTGTTTAATTTTATATAAGCTGATTCCTTTACCCACCTTTTGCATTTGTTATCCTCTTAATATTCCACAAAGAGGATAACAGTTACGAAAGGAAGGTAAAGGAATCAGCTTATATAAAATTAAACAATTGTCTTTCTACTTCCTCTGTATATTGTGACCCAATTTGGTTGAGTATACCTATGTATATAATTGATATTTTCCAAACTGAACCAATGATTTTTGTTTTAAAGTTCTTTCTTATGATTTGCAGCTGGACCCCAACACAAAACAAACAACATCGTGACAATGAGGTGCTGAAGTACTACATGTTGCATTTTGGATTCATGAAAAAGACATATGCACCATTAGTAGTCGAATGTTGCATATCAGTAGGTTGCGACAATAGCACTGGATCGGTTTTCGCATTCTTGGAGGACGTTTGGCGTTTTCGGGACGATGAGCGAGGAGGACGTGTCTGGTATAGCCAAGACAACGGATAACTTCATGATCGCTTTTCGCTTTGGGGGAATGAATGTCTTTTAGAAAGAGGATTGGCTACTCCGAGCGGTTCTGGGCTCTGCTGCTTTTGCACGATGCCATCTTTGAATTGAAGACACAAGTGGTCATTTAACAAAATCATTGTATGGAGAAAATTGACTTTAAACATTTTTTATTGAAACTTTTTACTTTGTTGAAATTTTAAATATTTAGTTTAGCTAGGTTGTTAATATATTGTTTTTGCAACAAAGTAATCGCAGAATGAAAGAACCATTCCTTAAGGTTAGTTTGATGCAAAATGTGTAATGGTAGCTTTGCTCCGACCCGCCGTGGTACCATAGAGAATGCCGAAAGCTTGATTTTATCGTCGAAAGAGTCAACTTAAGCCTAAGAGTTTTGCCAATTTCCTAATTAACAATTAATTGTATTTTTTACCCAACTGGTCGTTGGCTTTGGCAATGACTATCGCTCACGTCTCATATATATATATATATATATATTCGAAGTAACAATGTTTCAATAACAACAAAATTTTCTTCAGTATTGCAATGCAACCTTATGAGTAATAAAAATCAACTAATCAAGTATTATTAAAATGAAATCACAGACCTCAGGCAAGTAATATAAAGTTATATTTCCTATATATGTCTGATCATTGAGATGATTAAGCACCCGCTTACATCATTAGGAGAACACAGTTTATACAATCGCTTTTCTTGATATACCTACGTGTCCATATTGTAACTACATATATTTTTAGAGATAAAAATCATCTCATCTCGTACTCGTTACTGATGACAAAAGTGATATAAATAGCTGACACATTATCTATTTTTGTATCTTTTTTATGGAACTGTTGGATTTGTAATTCTTGCATCATCCAAACATTTAAAAATTCTCTTCATTACGAAATGAATTAAGTTTCTTCGACATAACTAGTTTTTACGTATGAAATTGGAGCTGGGGAAAGCAAGGAAATATGATAATGAGAAACATCAATTCGAACAAAAGTGTTGAATGTTCTGATAGTTACATTACACGATACAGCTCATATAGCGAGTTATTTGAACACAAACTAAATATCAATAATACCACAATATAATAAGAAGATTAGATGTCATATCTGTAGAAACAAGAATACAAGTGAATGCTAAAGCAAGATTGGCGAAAAGGGTCTCGAGAATGGGAAAAGAAAAAGACGAAAGGAAGACCAAGAAGTAAGTTGAATGACGAAATACAGTTGTACTTAAGACATGCATTTGGACTGGAAAGCAACAGAAGGACTAGCTAAAGACAGAGCAAAATGGAGAAACAAAATAAGAGGAAACTAAAGAACTGCAGAAAGACATCAACCTCTTCACTGGCTAGATCTGGTAGAAGAGGAACGGATTAAGTAACCATATTATCTGTAGCTCATAAACTGATATTAAGTGGAAATAACTAGGGATATAAATTTGGAGTGAAAGGAATTCTACTGCAGTTTGCTAGTGGTCTGCTAATGTTATCGTATCTTCACATATTCAAACATACAAAAACAAAATGTATCTATGCCAATAAAACTTTACGAGAGATGCGGTCCAAGTCTAACTAAAAAACGTACCACTTGATCCCCGTCAAGTGCTCTGCGGCCTATGGCGTCAAACTTAGAAAAGAATATAAATGAGAAACATTTATATTAATGTATGTTATGAAGTATTAGAAAAAAATCACAAAGATGTGTAAGAGAGTACTGTATTCACCAATGCACAACATTCACCTATGATACAGACGAGTGTAGTAGAAATTGCATTCAATATCATTAAGAATAAATATGGCTAAAGTTGGAAAGGCTGTATGAATACCAAAAGATATATATGTGCTCACAAGGATAATTAAAAATATATTACCTCTAGCCGGATAATGATAATTGGATTGTAAAGAAATCTAATCGTTTTATATAGTATTAGCTCGATATGTCAAGGGTAGAGCGTTAGAGAATCAATTTGCGCTAATTACGGCTCATTTTCGAGTACCTTGTGCAGGTACTTGATTTATTCTGATAAATGAGACTCTGTTTCAGAGTGTTGAAATATTGAGATTATATGCGATTTTGAAGCTAGTGATTCTATCAAATGAAAAGATTGATACCGGTGATAAATTTTATATCAACCAAAGTCAGGTTGATCAAAATAGACTCCATTAAATCATCCTATGTAATTACCTATGAATTATTCTGTACTTCGATGCTAATGAAGGATGTAAAAATATGCCGGTCATAATTTTCTTGAGAGAAAGGGCGGCATATAAAGTTGCAAACAATGAATTGAAGTGATTGCATCCTATAACTCATCCGCTTGTGATTCTGTACGATGAAAATTAAGGAACCTGACACCTTCAACCAGTTAACCACGTTTCACTTGGTTTTGCGTTCAAACATCTATCAAGAATCATTTGTGTTTACGAAGAATAGAAAGGTAACTAAAAGCGTATAAGGGAGACACAATTAATTAAAGAAAAAATACGAAACTACAAAAATGACTCACATTGGTGCTTAGTTGGGACGTCAAAGTGTGTACTTTTTCCTGAGCTTCTTGTAGTTCCCTTCTGAGTTTTCTTATTTCATGGGCTTGCTTCTCTTCGGCTGAGGAATAGAGACTGGATGCCGTAGACACCAAACTTATGGAAGATCCATGAACTGAAATAGAAAATATCATCTCAGTTCGTTTGTTACCGTTATGTATAGATGGATGGATATATTCTTACTTATCACTATTTAAATTAATACAAGTGAAAAGTCAAAGAGGAAGGAAAAATTGATACATACAACATATTAAGAATTTCAATTAAAAAAACCTACACACGACATTAAAAGTTAATATGTATAAGATTTATAAACACATGTACCGTATAAAAGCAGCACTCGCAAAGAATGTTTTTTACTTCATGCTTACACTCATTAGGATTTGTGATACTTTGGTAAATTTTTGGAGAATGCACGTTTAAAGTGGAGATTTTTTTTGCATGCTGTTGTTTTATATTTCAGTGTACTTGAAAGTATACTGCGTGTTGTGAAGATGTGGTGACTTCCAAGGAAATTGAAATCATTGGGGTTGCTTTTATTGTTTGTTTTTATTTTTTTTATTTAACAACATCCAACAGGCCAAAGCCAATTACAGGATGGATAAACATGAAAATATAAACAAATGCATGTAAGTGGTGGATGTATGCAGAGAAAGCTGAAACGCTGAAAAAAAACTCAAAACAAAACTCTGAGAAAAAAGCGTTCTAGCTTTACCTACATAGCACTCAACAATCACACAGGAGACATTTATGCAAGCATTAACGAAAATAAGCATTAATGTCTCCCAAGTCGAACAAAATGAAAATATATCTAAAACTGAATTATAATTGGGTCACATTATATAGATAGGAAAAAACTTAAGTATGTCAGTCCTAAGCCCGGCTAAGTAAAAAGTTAAACTATTTCGTGACGACAATCCAGAAACAAAGAAGCTAAGTTGTTCTAAGAGACACTGAAGTCTATAATGCCATGGATTACCTTGTGAAGGAACTTAACTGAATTCTTTTTGCGTCTGCTCTCTAATTATAGATTTTATGTCTCACCATCAACTCACTATGAGAAAAGCCAATGGCAGGGTATATCCAATCCGCTTTGTATGAGAGATATTTTAAAAACTTTCTTTGAACGGACTCTAAGCGGTCAATATATATTTGATGTTGCATACTCAAGCTTAGATCTTGCATAAGCATAGTACAGTATTTTCAGTGTAAAGGAGTTATAGAAATCACTAGTATTTCTTACAATAGAACCATACGCCTTTGATGCAGTCACAACAAGATTTTCAATATGACAGGAGAAGGAAAGTTTTCTGTCAAATGTGACTCCCACGTCATTAATTATTGTATTAGGTCTGTCAAGTTTCCTGCCACCGATACTATTATGCATACAGCATTACCTATGCTTTTAAAGTAAACGACAAAACGTGACACTTAACAGCATTCAAAACCAATCTGTTTTCAAGACATCAGTTGTCAAATCTTACAACGTTGTATTGTAAGCGATGACAATCGTCAATGTCAGAGACTCTACAGAAAAGGTTCATATCGTCAGCATATACAGGGTGTCCCAGAAGTCGACGTCAAGCCGAAACCGGGTGATAGGCACAGTCATAACAGCTATCAGAAAAATATTTAAAAAAATTGTATGTATGTGTTTTGAAAATTATAGGTCTTTGAAAAAGATATAGAAATTTCACACCCTACGGCAGTCTGTCAACTCCTGTTACTACAAATATTAACTTTTTTTGGATTTTATTCTTACAATGTAATGACGAATAATGCATCTTCAAACTGGTGTCTCAACCTTACTGCCAACTTTTCTCGTTCAGGAAAAATTGCCACTTATTCCCCAACCAAGTATTCCAAAGTAAAACTTTGCTCAACTTTAACTGGCTGTACTGGAAAAAAATGTACTACGAGAGTTTGGCAAGTAACCTTAAAAGTTGGCGCATTTAATAAGGATTCCAAAATGGTATAACACTTAGAAGATTACTCGTTAACTTATGCACAATTTTTATTTGAAAAAAAACTGACGAAAATTTTTCAAAATTTTCTAATTAAACAGCGATTATAAAAACGCACAGGGACCCTTAAGGATAACTGTTTGCACAACAGTGGGCGTCAAAATGCTGCTGATGATGATTTACCTTTACAGCAAATGCTCAAACTGTTTTCCTTCAGCCGCAATACACGCTCGACATCTTAAAAAAGATCGGGTTATTAAACGAGCGAATCCACAGTTATTAACAAACTCAGCTGCTTACAATAGTCTTTGCCGTAGCTCAGCTACATTTTGAATCGGCTTGAAATACACTTTTTCTTTTACAGTTCTTCAGTAAAAAAATCTAAAGGATTCAAATCAGGTGATCGGGCTGGCCACGGTATTGTACCAGACCGCCTTATCCATCTGCCTGGAAAGTTTTGATCGAGATACTCTCTCACTGAGAGTGCATATTGCGGTGGGCAGCCATCATGCTGAAACCACATGTCCCTGTAAATACTCAGTGGCACGTCCACCAATAAATTTTGTACATGATTTTTCAAAAAATCCAAATAAACTTCAGCAGTCAAAGTCTCTGGGAACTCAAACGGACCGATTATTTTACCATTTAAAATTCCTGTCCAATGGTTTATCTTGAAGCGATATTGAGATTTATCTTCTCTCATCAAATGTGGGTTTGCTACGTGCCACTCGTTTAAGTTATGCAGGTTCATGTACCCATCTTCCTTAAATGTGGTCTCATCCGACCATAAAATTTTTTCAAAGAACTGTGGATCTTTCCTGTGTCTTTCTAACATTGTGCGACAAAAAGCAACTCGGGGCTCATAATCCCGGGGCAGGAGAGGTTGAACACGCTGTATGTGGTATGGATGAAGCACATCACTTACTTGCTATTGCACACTTTGATACCGATCAGTACTCCTTCGTTTACTGCGCATCTTTACATGTTCGTGCTTGTTTATTTCGTACTGTTACTAATTTTGGATTCGTGAACTGGACTGTTGATCGCTTGTGATTTGGATTTGGACTGTTTAATTGCTCTTCAAAACAACATTTGCTTTCCTTAGACTATCTTTGATAGTGTGATTTTGCAGTGCCGCTATGTCCGTGTACACCGTACAAGAATATGCTAACATGCACCTCATTTATGGGGAATGCAGATGCAACGCTAGTGCTGCAGCGAGACTTTACTGTGAGAGGTACCCGAATGCAGCTCATCATCCAGATCATCGAGTGTTCACAAATGTGCACCGCTTACTGTTCTCAGAGGGCCAACTACCAAACTAATCACACGGTGAGGGAAGATCTTTTCTTCCTTACGAAGATGTGGTGCTGGAGCTGTCGAAGAAGACCCGAGTACTTCAGTGCGTGCAATAGAACTAAAAACAGGTGTGCCCAAAAGTACAGCCCATAGAATCTTGCAAAAAACGTGCTCCATCCATACCACGTACAGCATGTTCAAGCTCTTCTGCCCCGGGATTATGAGCCCCGAGTTGCTTTTTATCGCACAATGTTAGAAAGACACAGGGAAGATCCACGGTTCTTTGAAAAAATTTTATGGTCAGATGAGACCACATTTAAGAAAGATGGGTACATGAACCTGCATAACTTACACGAGTGGCACGTAGCAAACCCACATTTGATGAGAGAAGATAAATCTCAATATCGCTTCAAGATAAACCATTGGACAGGAATTTTAAATGGTAAAATAATCGGCCCGTTTGAGTTCCCAGAGACTTTGACTGCTGAGGTTTATTTAGGTTTTTTGCAAAATCATTTAGAAAATTTATTGCAAGACGTGCCACTGAGTATTTACAGGGACATGTGGTTTCAGCATGATGGCTGCCCAGTGCACTATGCACTCTCAGTGAGAGAGTATCTCTATCAAAACTTTCCAGATGGATAGGGCGGTCTGGTACAATACCGTGGCCAGCCCGGTCACCAGATTTGAATCCGTTAGATTTTTTTACTGGGGAACTGTTAAAGAAAAAGTGTATTTCAGGCCGATTCAAAATGTAGCTGAGCTACGGCAAAGACTATTGGAAGCAGCTGAGTTTGTTAATAACCGTGGATTCGCTCGTTTAATAACCCGATCTTTTTCAAGATGTCGAGCGTGTATTGCGGCTGAAGGAAAACAGTTTGAGCATTTGCTGTAAAGGTAAATCATCATCAGCAGCATTTTGACGCCCACTGTTGTGCAAACATTTATCCTTAAGGGTGTTTTCATAATCGCTGTTTAATTAGGAAATTTTAAAAAATTTTCATCAGTTTTTCTTCAAATAAAAATTGTGCATAAGTTAACGAGTAATCTTCTAAGTGTTATACCATTTTGGAATCCTTATTAAATGCGCCAACTTTTAAGGTTACTTGCCAAACTCTGGTAGTACATTTTTTCCAGTACAGCCAGTTAAAGTTGAGCAAAGTTTTACTTTGGAATACTTGGTTGGGAAATAAGTGGCAATTTTTCCTGAACGAGAAAAGTTGGCAGTAAGGTTGAGACACCAGTTTGAAGATGCATTATTCATCATTACATTGTAAAAATAAAATCCAAAAAAAGGTAATATTTGTAGTAACAGGAGTTGACAGACTGCCGTAGGGTGTGAAATTTCTATATTTTTTTCAAAGACCTATAATTTTCAAAACACATACATAAAATTTTTTTAAATATTTTTCCGATAGCTGTTATGACGTTGCCTATCACCCGGTTTCGGCTTGACGTCGACTTCTGGGACACCCTGTATAAGAAAATCGACATCAAAACTTCGGAAATATCATTTTACAACATAATAAACAACAGAGGTCCCAAATTAGTTCCTTGAGAAACACCGGACATTCGCTTGAGTTATGTAAATTGCACATAACATACTTCCTATCAAGTAAATAAGAACAGAAAAATAGCAGCAGTGCATTTGAAAGACCAAATCTAGATAAATTATTGAGTAGGATGTTATGGTCTAAACTGTCAAATGCTTTAGAGAAATCGGTATACGAGGAGGTACCCAAAAATAACCGGAATAGCATTGCAGTGGGCGGAGCTTGTGTAGTACACATTTCTGCACGAGTCGTACAGTGCAACTCATTACCAGTACCACCTGAGTTGTCGATCTGGCTTGTTTCGTTCCACTGTAGTTATTATTTTTGCTAGAGCTGTTTCGTGCTTGTTTCGTTTTTACGATGGCAAGCTTCAGTGATCAACGAGTAGCTGTGAAATTTTGATTTCTACTTGGTAACAATGCTGCTGAAACTGTTTTAATGTTGAAAGTAGGTTACAAAGATGATGCTGTGGGAAAAACTCAATAACAAACCTCGCTCTGGACGTCCATCAACTGCCCGAATCGACGAAAATGTTGATAAAATTCAAGAGCAAACAGTGTTCGACAAAAAAGACCTAATTTTTGGCAGTCAGGAGACTGGTTCTTCCACCACGACAATGCACCTGCGCATACAGCCATCTATCTATGTTCGACAGTTTCTGGCTAAAAATGGCATGGTTCCGCTGCCTCACTCATCTTATTCGCCTGGCCTGGCTCTGTGCGACTATTTCTTATTTCCACGGGACAAAAGGGGCATGAAAGAACGCCGCTTTGACGACATTGCATTGAAGAGGTCAAGAAAAAATGACGGCGGAACTGTCAGATATTTCTAAGGAAGACTTCAAAAAATGTTTCGAGCAGTGCACCGGTAGAACAAGTGTATTAGTTGTAGTAGACAGTATTTTAAAGGAGATAAGGTTACTTTGTAAAAAAGTTGAAAATAAATAGACTTTAAAAAATAATTCTGGCTTTCTTTGGGAACTGTAAGACCTTAAAGGCAAAGTATTTTTGACCAAAGACTAACTTGGAACGCTCACATCAACAGAATAACACAGACAGCAATAATAGCCCTAGGAAGGTGCAGACAGATGTACTGGAGAAATTGAGGGTTAAACTGAAAACGATCATGTGGTTATACTCGAGGGGAGCGATACTCATGATAACCTATGGATTAGTGACATGGTGGACAAAAACCAGTCGGAAGCGGTGAGATTAGGCCGCGTTTAGAGGCTAGCCTCTTACATGATCGTCACGGAGGTCATGTACATAGCGTTATTGGTAGATTTACCGCCATTACACATCCTTATTCTGAGCAATCATTTTTCGTGATTCACAAATTAACTCAAGGGCACAAAGGAAATGAGATGGTTGAGCTAGACCGAAACGGTGAGGCTAATAATCGCCTTATAGAGATGTTTTTACTCCGCCAAGTTTTCTTAAGCAATATTGCAGTGTATACAACGTTTAGATTCAAAAATGCTAACTTACACAGCACCATGTCTACTGAACCATTAACTAGAGCTTTGTGAAGCACTTTCCGTTCAAAACTTCAGAAATGAGATGGAAAAAGTGCTACTACAGCTACCAAGATTTGAATGCACAAATAAGATTTATAGCGGTTGCTACACTATCTTCCACTACCACGCTGAATATATCGTGTTATATTTGAATATAGTATTGTGCATAATATTTGTTCTGAATGCTAATCACTCCATCCAGTTAAATGTTGATCAAACTAACTTTTTGGGGGGAAGTGAAAAATGGCCGTGTCAATCCTATTTCCTTTTTAAAATGTTGGATCAAGAAAATGTTCTTGGAGAGGTGGAACGACCAGTTAGGGCAACGGTAGGGGAAAGAGAACGGAAACCCGCATTTACATATGACCTGCTCGGATTTAGTAGGAATGCCATAAATGTCATAGTGGGTCTCCTAAGAGGACACTGATGTGTAATTGACGTATGCACCTCTTGGGTCTAGCAAAAGAGGCCAAATTCTGGTTCTACAATGAGCACGAGGGATCCCCAGTGTATCGTTTGTGTCACTGCGAAGGCCTGGCCAGGCTAAGGATTCAGATACTCGGAATCACAAATCTAACAGCGGGAAGCTGCATGCAAAGTCCTGCGTCAATTTGATTGAAGGATGGAAGCTGGATACAGTGCTTTAGGCCCGTATCGTCAGTCGTCCCTACAATTGTAGGGCGCCTTTATGGCCTCCTTGATTGTTATAGTTTTCTACTTCTCCGTGTCAGAACTCTATTTTGAGGTTATGTCACAATCATCTATTTGCATCAAATTGTGCTTGCTTTTGAGTTATATCATGTTTTATCAGCCTGAAATTTCCTGCAATTTAAAAAGAAAACATCTTCACAATAGGAGAGCGCTGACGCTGACACGGGACAAGTGTAATCTAGAAATTTTTGAAGGAGAGAAAGGAGTATGACAATTAAGGAGGCCATAAACGCGCCCTACAATTGTAGGGACGACTGACGATACGGGCCTTAGACAGTGTATATGTGAGCTTCAATAGATCCGCATGAATCACAGTGACGTTTGGGCTCGTAAGTTACCCCCTTGGTGGAATCTAATCGTCATCAGAATTATATAGCTACTGCGCTTCCGAGTTCGAAATACAGCACGGCATAGATATCCACCTGAAAACTACAGCGAATCGCCCAAAAAGAGGTCTTGTTTTCGACCTGGAGGTCTCTGTATCTCTCAAGATATGGAGCCGTCTGGAAATAAATTGTTCTTCCTTAGTTATTTTCGGCACCTGGTTTCAAAATCTTGTTAGACACTGCACGGACCTTGCAGTTAAACATACTTTGGGCAATTATTAATATCAATCCTGGTAATTGCAATATTTTTTTGATACATACGTGACAGAGGAGGGGTGTCCTTTATAAGGGTGTGCAAAGGCTCCATAGTTACATTTGCTTGTATTAGTAAATGCCAGCTAAGTTGAGGAAATATAGGTACATATACTAACGTATGTCCTAAAAGTTTTGGCACAAAAGTAATTGGCTTTAATTTTAACAAACACAAAATAGTTACAATTTGCCCTTGGACACAAAATTTTGTTTACTTACTTTACTGTCAGTTGACATTTACTTATTTTTCGCTTTAAATAAGTTAGAAATAAGAAAAGTATCTACAAGTTGGTTGGGCAGGTACGTACCCAAAGGTGAAATCTGTCGAATATTCCAGAATGCAAACATTTCACGCAGAAACATTTATCGAACAATAGCGGTGTGCGAGCAGGGTATACAATGTCTGAATCTCCCAAAAGGTTGAAGACCACGTGCATTTACTCCACAGAGGTCAGAGAGATTGATATGAAGAGCACAAAATCAGGTTAAATGCCAACAAGGAGACTGGCTCGTCAATACAGATCTTCTGAGAGTACGATATCGATGGAATTGAGGAGGAATGGGTAATTCTGAAATGAACAGAAACTACGAATTTTACAGGGACGACGTAGAGTAATGCCCTGACAATCTTAGATACAAACATAAAGCAAAATTTGCAGATTAAATCCTTGTCTGGTGCGCAATTTCTAACAGGGGTGCATCCCAACTTTTGGAGGGAAGAGTGAGGGGTGAAGCTTTGAATAGTCAGCGCTATATTGATAACTGCCTTTCCAAACTGCTTCAGTTTGTCCACAAACATCATGCTAATGACCATATCATGTTTTGGCCATTACTCAAGACGTACCCAAAACTGGCATCGACATCACAACATACCTTTTGTTCCCAAAAACAATAATCCTCCAAACTTGCCGCAAGCTCGCCCAGTAGAAGATTTTTGGGCTTTATTGGCTAGGGAAGTCTATCATGGAGGCTCGGAAGCCCAAGATGAAGAACAACTAAGACGCGAATTTTCGAAAAGCTGAGAGAAATTGATCTGAATTCCGTCCAGGACCTTATGAGAGACATTCGAAGAAAGTTGCATCTGGTAGAGCAGAATGGGCCACTCCACATAATTCAGTAGTATAGTCTAGTTAAGTATTGACTTGTAGTTTATGATAGCTAGTTAGTGTTTAAAAAAAATCAGATAAGTGTTTTGTGCCAAAACTTTTAGAACATTACGATGGCCAAAATGCTTGTTGTAGATTTAGACAAGCTCGAATACTTCGGCTATTTTTTTCTCATTGGACATACTAGAACGGAAAGATAGCTGCTCCTCATCGGGATAAAAAATGAACCTACCGGACCCAAATATGTAGGTATGTTGCACAAAACATTTCTCAGAAAACTGAAATGGTTCACTTAGAGAATTGCTCACCAGGGAGTTTGGTAGGTTGGGTGCTGAAGGCATTAAACAGATACCCGCGTCTCTCATAGCATATCAAGAGCACCCATACTCTGCTCCCATGCCCCTTCAACTGATTCATTTAAAGTTTGTGGCACGTTAGGTTCGACCTTGGGAGCTTACATAAACAAATCCGTCAAATTTACCCCTCCTAGTGGAACTGCACAAAATAAATGTGCGGTTCAGTCTTCCCATACTTGTTACAATATTTGTCTTTATACTAAAGCTGTTCACAATCCTCGAATCAGGAATACGTACCATCATCATTTTTCGGCATCCCATGTCTTCCAGTTTGCGATGACGGCACTCCAGGATGCGTAGGTGACAACGGGAAAGACCTTCCAGAAGCGTTAGGTGCAGGACTGGTAGGTTGTGACCAGTGGCTCAATGGCGCTGCTCCACTGGGCACGCAGTAGTAGGGCTCAACATCAGACGGGTCGCATATGCTGCCAGAAGTTGGACCACCAGTACTATTGTTCCTATGAAGCATGGACGGGTACAGTTTCTCGGACTTGGTGGACCTAGAATGAGGAAATGAAAAACATATTCAAGGTTGGAAGTTAATGATTCTAGCGCTAAAGGGCGTGGGTTTATTCTCATTGTCATACTAACCTAAGGAGACTTGAATCAATAGTCAAAATATTTGTTTACTGGCATTCAGAAACACAAGTACACGTTTGAATAGAAATTCAAAATACTATAGTAAACGGCTAAGTTGTTGACTGTACTGTATTATCAAACCAGTAAAGAGGGTAATGGGTTCATCTACGACTGGTTGAACTCTTCAACGGAACAGTTTAGTAGTGAATCAGAAACATGCTTCAAAACCTTGAGCACGTAGAATTACTGAGAGAAAATAAGCGTGGTTCTCTTCCCTGGGGACTGGTACTAAATTAAGACGCTGTGACACAAATTTGTTAGTACACAAATTTTCCGCAAAATAATATGTTCTAGGGTCATATCATTAAACGATATCCCCGAATCATTTTCTCCTAAGAATGACTCGGGGGGCGGCTCTTCTATTAGTGCTCAGAAATATAGTTTCCCGAATGGTAAGAAAACCACGCTCGCTTTCTCTTAAATTACTCTTCTCCCTCACTTTAAGAATTATCCTCTAGATGCTGCTAATGTCTTTTTTCTTCAATTTACTGAGACGTACAGCACAAACCCTGTTAAATATAGTACCACCTCTCTTTTAGCTACATGTCCTGTGAAGTTGTTGGGAACACTTCTGAAAACTCACATGTATCATTGATGGCAATGCATTATAGAGATCTTTATGTGTGGTCTCCTTTGGGTTAATAGATAATGGTGTAAACAGTGGATGTGTTATTGAGTACGTCAACACTTATGTCGCTGAAAAACTGACTCATTCTAATAACAATTTTTTAAAGACATGTGTAAAACTGGGTGTTCATGAGATAGCGGGAATTTCCATTTTTTTTAAGAAAAAAACTATTTATTAATCTACATTAATGTTGCCGCCTTCAAAATAGACCCCATTAGATATTATGCACTTGTGTCACCTGTGCTTCTAATCCTCGCAACACTTCTTAAACTCGATCATTGGGTGAGCTCCTTCGGCGATGCGCTTTTAATGTCAAGTTTACTTGTAAAACGACGGTTCTTTAAGGTTCTCTTTATTTTTGTAAATAGGAAAAAGTCACACGGAGCTATGTCTGAGGACTATGGAGGCTGGAGCATCGTTATAGAATTGTTTTGGCCAAACGAACAAGTGAAGTGTGAGCAGGTGCATTATCGTGGTGCAAAAGCCAGTGATTGTTTTTTCATAAATCCGCGCATTTTTTCGGATCGCTTCATGCAAACGGCGTTAAACTTGACTACTTTACCTTGTGGCTAGACTTCATGATGTACTATGCCATTAAAATTGTAGAACGCAGTGAGCATAACCTACACTTTGACCGCACATTTCGGTCTTGGCAAGCCAGGTTGCCTGCACTGGGGCATCTGACCTTTAATTTCGACGCCATATCTGTAAACCCATGTTTCGTCTCCTGTTATAACATGTTATAACAATTCTGCATTGTCATTTACATCATTTAGTGTCTCATGAGTAACTTCCATTGCTACCACGCGTTTCATACGAATATCGCCGAGCTCAAAAACACATCTACCTTAGCGGTTGCCACAGACAAAGTTAACAATGAATACAGCTGAAAATGTTATCAGACTAACATTTTTTTAGGCTGCAGCGGTAGCGTAGTGGTAGATGTTATGGGTCTCCTAATTAGTCGCCGTGCGCTGCGCTGGTTAGAATCCCGTCCCAAGAGAGTTTTTCTCTTGACTATGGATGTTGTGATTGTCCGTAGGTGGAAGACGGTCTTTGACTGTCAAATGCGGAGGTACCACCCGGCCGATCTCTAAGGCGGGACCAAGATGTGTGCATGCTGCATTCACAGGTGTTCCCTTGCTAGAGTCCGTAGGACATCCCCCCTTTCGCTTGTGCCCCCTACAGCCCCACGGTATCCATGGACGTTTAGGCCTTAGACCTTCGTGGCAGTTCAAATATAAAAAAAACAATAAAAAAAAGACAATCCCTCATCCCTCCAAACACGCGAAATTTATAAATTCCCGCTACTTTCAGAACACACCTCGTATATTGTCACACATATTGCTTCGAAAAGCTAAATACTAGAAAAACACTTAAATTGGATGACACAAGTGTAGAGTACCATACATATACCAGTGTGCAATATGTAAGCGGGAGTGTCAGTGAAGGTGAGTCTATTTTGATTTCATTAGGTAGAAAAATAACTCGATCGACACTCTTCAAAGCGGGGTTTTGTCACACAGAGACAAACATGGTACCAAAATTACATAAATAAAGTATAATATTTAGGAGATCCTCAGACGGTACCACAGCTTTTGTGTGCCAATTAAGACATCTGAAAAGCTACACTAGGTGTGTTATGATGTAAATTTTGATTTTTGGTTCCATGTTTATCCCTTTACTGTTGCGTACAAGAACGTGATCAAGCAATGCTAATGCTAATTACACTTTTAGTTTCCAGGAGCAGATATACTTATATTAAATTTGAAGCTTTGAACAATGAGATCTTCTCATTTCCTTAAAAATAGCGTCAGCGGGAGCAGTTCACACGACAAAATAGTTCCAGAAGCATCATAACATGGAAAATAACAGAACGGCCGTAGCAATAACAAAGCCGGGAAACTAGCTTCACTAAATATTTATCGAATGAGCGATTTCACCTGCATACAACCAGAATAGAATCGAAAAAGTTTTTTATATTTTTTGTGACTTCTTGGATGCAGATCTATAGTAACCACTTGCAATGATTAAGCAAAAATCTCAATGACCTTAAGAACGTTCTTTTTATAAAGAATATACTCTCACTCCATAAATATTAAGCAACCAAATTAAATTTTGGACGCATATGATAATAAAAATAGCACTTATTCCAACACAAATATCCGCTCTCTATACCTTGGAAAAGTCCTTTCTCTCAGATAGCTGTTTGTAGAAAACATTTTACTGTTATGAGATGTTCTGAAAAATGATGTGTTTGTAAATCACCACAATATTGCATTTTCGTATGCATTTTATAATATGTTTATACATTAATTTGTTCCCAGCACAAATTTTCCAATAACTAAATAAATGCTATATGCATAACTTGCACATTCTAATTCCAAATTGTTCCTCTGTAATGATAAATTCCTGCTGGAGCGATGTTTATGCCGTACCTGATGCTATTACTCCGACTCAATCTTGACGGTGAATCCCTGAGCAGACGAGTATGTGTCAAACTGCTTCTGTGGCTAGGCAAGCTGGTAAGGGACTCCATGCTATCGGTTTCTGACAAACGGGGTGCCACAGAATAGGTATTGCTGGAAAATAGCAGAAACATTTATTTACTTCAGTAGAATTAGGTAACACCCAACACAAGGCTCAAGCAACAGTTTCTTGGGTGCTTTATGCTGGTTGTGAGACAGAATGTTACAAAAGTTGCATTTATGACTATTCTAATTACACCCAAACGCAATAAACATGAAAAGGTATATTCACATTAATTGAATATATGTTTTAAACTCATAAAAGATATATCATAATAACAAATGTTCTCAGCACATACTGGTTACATCCCCTTAAAGCATATTCTCTTGACGAACGTTCTAAGATTATGCGATTTAAAATAGAATATATCCATTTGCTCGTATACTCAGAATATTCATTTTTACAACATGCCGATTCAAAATCTTGTTGCATGTCCACGTTATTCCATCAGAATCCATCAGATGCCGATTCAAAATCTTGTTGCGTGTCCACGTTATTCCATCAGAATCCATCAGGTAAATTTTTTAGCCTATCGCGCATGTGCGTGTCTCCAATGGCATAATGACAAGCTTACCGGCTGCCATTTTGTTTTATTCCATGTCTGTGCGTATCTAATACATCGTGCATCGTGTGTTTCAAGTGGTACAATATTTCAGTGTTTTTTGTGGAAAAGGGTTAGTAAGGTCAAAACAAAATGATGCCTTCACCGGTCCGCCCAAGAAAAGAAGACAGCCAACCATGGACAGCTGTTTCGTGCTTCTTAGCTACATATCAGCATGGTATAGGCTTGGTCTCTTATCTCTGCATGGACAAACGAAAGCGTCACATTGATCCTCTATACCTAAACTTTTCTAAATAAAAGAGCTTTTAGCAAGTATAAAATGAATCTGTAGCGTAGAAAAAAACAAAACAAAATCTAGCTCTGGCATTGACGGACCCGTCGGAATTGTGTGTCCTTTGGCGATATGGGGAATTTTGAAATATTACTACGAGGGATGTATTTTAAGTTTTGCATATAGAAACATAGTAGGCCGCGCGGAACGAACCTCAGTGCTGAATCTTAACCTCACTCTTTAGTAAATTTAAATTCAAAGTTTCACAACAATACGTGAAGTGTTCTCACTACAGTGAACTTTTAAGTGTTACCAAGTCATTAGAAAAATGGAACTCAACCGAGAACATTTTCGTGCCATAATTTATTACAACTTTCAGAGACAATTATCCCAACAAGAATGCCTTGCTGAGTTACTGTCTGTTTTCGGCAACATTAGTCGACAATTTCCCGTTGGTATGGAGAATTCAAATGTGGACGGGTGAGTCTTAGCGACGATCCTAGGGTGGGTGCACCAAAAACGGCAGTCACCCAGGAAAACGTCGATGCTGTGCGCAAACTCATCATTGAAGATAGACATGTGACATATCACGAGATTGAGGCGTCCTTGAAGATCTCAAAGACCTCAATTCAAAAAAATTTACATGAAGAATTAGAAGTAAGAAAAATAGTTTCTCGTTGGATACCCCACCTGTTGACTGAAGAGCAGAAAGCAGCCAGGGTTAATTGGTGTCAAAAAACGCTTGACCGTTTCAGTTCCGGAAACTCAAAAAATGTGTACAGCATTGTTAGTGGATTTACTGTTATGAACCAGAAAATAAACGACAGTCGGCTGTTTGGGTGTTCCAAGGTGAAGAAAAGCCAACAAAAGTCATCCGTTCTCGAAGTGTTTCGAAAAAGATGGTCGCGACATTTGTGTCAAAAGCGGGTCATATTGCAACAATTCCTCTTAATGAGCAAAGAACTGTTACTGCGGATTGGTATACCACCATTTGTTTGCCAAAATTCATCACCGAGCTTCGAAAAATCAACCCCGAAAGAAGGATCATCCTCCACCAAGACAATGCAAGCTCGCACACAGCCCAAAACACAAGCCAGTATTTAACGGAAGAAAACGTGGAATTATTGGACCAACCTCCATATAGTCCCGATCTAAGTTCTAACGATTTCTTTACTTTCCCGAAAATTAAAAACAAACTGCGTGGTCAAAGGTTCCAGTTACCAGAAGAAGCAGTTGACGCATTCAAAAATGCCGTTTTGGATCTGCCAGCAAACGAGTGGAATAAGTGTTTCGAAAATTGGTTCGAGCGCATGCAGATGAGTATTAATCTTCGTGGAGAATACTTCGAAAAACAATAAAGTTATTTAAAACTACCTACCGTGTTGGTTTATTTCCATATGCAAAGCTTAAAAGACATCTCTCGTAGATAACTATCTGTCATTCTACCGTGATGGTTACTCGTGAAATAGGGTATAGAAAGTTTATTTGTAATGAGAAGACATTGGCATCTGCAGCTGCTCACGATGGAGAGATGAATATAACAGAAAAAACAAGAATACACTTCTAGAAGACGATACATGGGACCTTAACATCAGATGAATACACACATATTATGACATACACATTTCATTATTAATACATGGTTAATTTGATTTACTAGGTTTTCATTTATACTTCTTCGTTTTGAAATTAGACTTGACGGGTCCGCGTGCCTATGGTGTGATCAACTGTATATACCTGAAGTAGTTATTAGATGTATCTATGACAAACCACTGGATACTTCTCGAAGATTCAGTATATAATCATAAGGTATATTAAAAAAACATCAGTACTGTAATCTCCAGATGTTTGGATATAGGTATCTGGATATACAAATGGATATCTATTGGATGTATCTGTCCACCCAGTGAATAACCTACAAACACCTAGCATAAGCTGCCTGGATGAAAAGATATTTTTCTTACCTGTGTCTTAACCAGGGTGCATACGGGTTTCCAGCTGATTCAATGGCCTGCGTGTCTGACAATGAACCATCGCTGGCTTTAGGTCTTGCCGTCCTCATAACTGGACCATAGTCCACATGATGCACGACTCCTACTGCTCCTTTGGGCAGGCTTTGACTGCCCATCATCAACCTTTCGCGCACTGATTGGCTGAGCTGATTCGCGGTGTTGCCTGTTAGGCTGTAGCTTTTGAATGCTGGAGGGCTGGCTTCTGAAATACATTATTTATCATTGATGAGAACAGAATATTTGAAGAAGCATTATTTAGATGTTTTGTATGATTTTTCTATACAGGATAAACATATATCTACGAAGCGGGTAAAGATACTGAGTTAAGATTTTAGATGTTCAGGGAGCACATCATAAGCAATAAACACACATAGTTTCCCGACCCAAACTAAAGCAGGTACGTAGAAAATGGGGTACCTGGCCCCTAATAGGAAATATTTTCTACATAACTGGCCTCTTCGGAGAAAATTTATGAGGACACAACAATGGGTACAAAAAATAATGTTGAATACATGCTATAACATCCAACCTAAAGGAGATGCTGAAAGTAACCACAACTGGCTTCAACACAAACCGGTGCTCTACAGCACAAAGAACTCTTTGGAAAATACCAGGCATAGTATAAACAGTGTTAAAAACCGTCTGTATACTTCGTTCTTATAGTTAGTGTCCGAGATTTGTGATATCTTCCTTGTTGGCCTTACCTAATCCGACATGCTAAAGACTTTTGAGGTAAAACAATAAAAATTTGACTAAAAATTGATTGGTTTCACAATTACTAGTTGTGATTCTAGACAAACAGAAGAATCTAACAAGAAGAACTATACCATGAAAAGCAGTGGCGTGAATAGACAAGGTTTAATGAATGGTAAGCTTCTACGCTACTGATTGAATGAGACACGCATTAATTTAATTAATGTTGTAATGAGGTGTCATACCTTTCTTCACATGCCACGTAGTGTTTCCAATATCAAACTTCACTGTGTTTTCAGAATAGGGGAGGCTAAACCTTTTCACAGGAATATTTTAGGATTTTACCTCAAATATTCAAACAAAAATAGCTCCAAAGCGAGTGGGGTCCAGGCATCCCAGTTTCTACGTCCCTGTTTAGTTTGGGCCGCGAAACGTGATTTTATTGCTGTCTTAAATGCTAACTTAGTATCGTTACTCGCTCCCTAGATATACTTTTTTTTTCAATTAGAAATACTGGCACGTTTTTCGGAAACACCCTGTACGAAAACATTATCTTAGGCCCAATTTAGTTATTCTTGTGAATTTTGTGATAATCACACATTATTTAATTCAAACATAGTGAGTCTTAAAATATGTAATTTTGCAAACGCCGATAAATCCAATTTTTATGATTTTTGAGTTAGGCATGGAATTCGGTTAATTTCGATATGCTGTACCCATTTTTGAAGGCAGATATGAGCAACAGCCGCTAAATCCTCATGAAAAATAGGTACAAACTCAGTGCATTCATGCAAAACCCGATAAATCCAAAATTAATACAAAAAGAGCTAAATCAAAAACTGTTATTTTGTATTATTATGCCATCTGTGGATTTATTATCAAATCAACTGGTCAGGTGGCAATGATCGTATAGATTTCATTATTATTTTTTCAGTGCTTCATAGATTGCCTATTCAGATGCGTAAGTTTATAAAAATATTTAGGTTTTCTGTTTCTTTTTTGTCTTTGGCGTGCCGTGTTGGTGTTTGTGTGGTGGTTCCTTTTCTGTTTTCCTGACAAAATAAAAATGGATGAAAGTCTCCGTAAAATTGAAGACTTATCGGGGTTCCTGAAAAATCTATCTATATCCAGTTATCTTTTATTTACATTTTCTTTAAGTGTTCGTATTACTTTTAATTAAATATACGAGTAATGTATATTAATAATAATTTTTATAGTTTAGTATTAATTTTTTTTTATTACTCATGTTTTGTTCTTTTTTTTTCGTAAAATGGGTTGAAAGTCAATGTTTTTTAGTGATGTTTGCAGTTTTTGAGAATATAGTACTGTCAAATAGAATTTTAAAACTATTTTCACTCCGTAATTTCATAAAGAAAATAACGTTCACACAAAAACCGAATCCAAAGTAAATTGTCTATTAAAAAAAACTGGTATTTCCGCCAGTAATTAGTAAAGATATTCTAACACCTAATATGCTGCGTTACGGATTTCAAAAAGTTTTAAATTTGACGGGGATTTTTTTCTAGAGGTTTTTGCCGCTTTTCTCAGAACTACAAAAATTGATTTTTGCATTTTTGCTCTTCAATTATTCCTTAAGCAAAAATAGCTATTACTTCCTTGTGGCTCTAAAACTGGTTGGGTAGTCAAAAAAACTGTTCGCTTGCACAAAAATATTTCTTAAAATTAGAGACGGCTACAGGTTCATTAAAATTAAAGTCCAAATTCTCGGGTATACAGCCAAACGAAAAATGTAGTCAAGCCAGAAAGAACGCGAATCTTTCTTTGAGTCAAGCTTATGCTTATTTTTTTCTTCAGGACATTAGACTACAATACAAGTACGATTACAATATCAATGAAAAAACTACTTACAACATGAAGTCTGATTTCAGGACGAACAATAGAACAACCGAAAAAAAAAACACATAATTAACGCACAACATCAAAACTACATAGCCACAAAATAAAATATTGATCCATATTTACACGAGAAGATTGAAAAACTGTACAATTATGTAATTTCCATAGTATTAGTTCATGGGATCTCAAGCAAACAATATCGCGGTTGCTAAATGCTTGTTTAAAATTCCTCAAACTAATACTATGGAAATTACATAATTTTATGTTTTTTCAATGGTTTTTTGTTCATAATGAAAAATACTTTATTTTTTCAACTGTGAATTTTTTATATTATATGTTGATTAATTGTTTTCCTCAGGTTTTTTTTTGCTTACTTGTCGCGAAAGGACTTCACGTTATAAGTATTTTGTCATTGAGGTTATATACTGGTTTTAATTGACATTCATTTCTCTTTGTCCTGAAGAAGAAAATAGACATTTTCGAAAGCTTGACTTGAACAAAGAATCACCCTCTGGCCAGACTCCATTTTGCATTTGGCTGCATCCCCGAGACTGGACTTTGCAACTTAGCTAGTCAACCAGGACTACCCTCCTCCTCTGTCTTAAAATGACATATAATGATTCAATTAATGGTTTCAAAGTCAAAGCTTAGAGACAAGACTTGCCCATCTTCAATTCCTAATGTTGCCGCTAGGTGACTATCTTCTTTTGATTTTCCGATTAGTTGGCACGAAGTTGGCACATAATGAGTATATACGTTAGTCAATCCTGTCACACTGACTTTTAACTATGAGTTAACGTTGGCGGTTTCAACATTCAGGAAAAAACTTACTGTGAGGCTGCTGTAGATCACTGGAACATGTTTGCGTGCCTCCGGAAACTTTCACCTTAGTCCTAGGAACTACGGACACAGCTTGTGTTTTCCCGGTTGTCGGATTCTGAACTACTGTTAAAAGTAAAAGAAACAATTAATGCTGAAATATTCTGCGGCTACGTAATTATAAAAGTTATTGAGTGAATAACTAGAAAATGGTTATATATAAAGATATGCACGTATACTGTGAAATGAATGTTTACAGAATTCTTTCTAAGCTTTATCATGTTTTGATGATTAATGCTGCTGCTGCTGTATTGAAACCGAGTATGCAGATGGCCTGAAAATGGAACTCGCACATATGGTATATTGACCTTCATTTGTTATCACGCATATGAACTAGATACACTTATTAATACAAATAAGTCATTGTTGAAAATGGAATGTATCAGCTCCTCAACCGCCTGGAATAGTTCTGGGGCTCGCAATTAGATACGCAAAGTGGACGTTTGCTGAAGATTAATTGGTATTGACAGATTTGCCGCTCCAGAACGACAAAGTAACCAAAACACTGCCTGAAAACTGGCGTCAAGTAGGATGACTATTTACCTCATATGCAATATAATCAGTTTAGTAACAATATGTGCGGTTTATTTTCAGACCATACGCTAAAAATGATTTGAAATATAAACCACTTGAAATTGATATTTACCATATTGAATAAAATTTACGTGATTATTTTCAATTCTTTAGGTATATTTAACGTGGAGTAATTTATTACAGCAGCAGCAACGTCAACAAAAGAGAGACAAATTAAGCCCTTCTCAGGGAAAAGGTTAAACTGCGAAATTGTATAACAAGAAAAGTATGTATGAGGTTTGTTCGAAAACTCAAATGGAATCGGAACTTTACTAAGTATAATCACATCCTGAGGTCCTACATCTCAAGCTATTTTCCTGTTTCAAAGGCAAATATATGTCATGTTGACTACCATGTTAAACACTGCAGAGAACTACTGTGATCAACAGCTTCTTAACAATAGACGTCTTTTACTGATACCAAAGATGCAACATTTGAAATATACCGTTCCACACAACTCAAAATCCCTAATGTTTAACCCAACCGTAACGCAAAATAATTTTGAAAATGATGAGGAGCTTTGGAAGCGTGCAAAAATATTTTTGGATGGTTTTTTATGTTTCTTATCTGTGACTACACTGCACCATGTTTTTTAGTGATATATGTGCATGCCATATAACATTTAATAAATTTAATATCCAGATTTCGAAACTCTGCGATTACAGTACCTGATGGATTGAAAATTATAGTGCAGTCAAGTTAGGTATTTCCTTTAGACAAATGGGGAAATGATTCTTCATCTACACCTCTGATAGTAAGCTGAACGTATTCCACCTTGTTTAATAGGTAGATATGGTTAAACATATTACAGAGAATCCTGAATAAGTGGGCCCTAGATACGTGAGAAATTCCTACGACTGACTATTACAATGAGGTACCAAAACATTTTTAATTCAGAAGCGATTTCTTAGGCTTTTTCGATGTTTACCTCTATAATTAGGACTCCGTAAATCAGGCAGATTATCAAGTTTAAACATGGTATCACACGTTGGTCTACAAACAAACAATAATACTGTTTCAGACCCGCCTATTTGGAAAACTGGATATACATGGCGTCCAAAAATTATGGGCGCACCCAAGTATCTCATAAACTAAGGATTCTAGAAAATACTCGTATATAAAAGTTCTACTAAATCAATTGGTGCACCTAGTGATGGCATTGGCTTTGACGTTGACATTAACCTTGAAGATCATTTCAAGGGCAAGATGACTTTTTAAAAGGGGAACACCCATATTTTAGTGTAGAAATGAAGAGCCAAACAAATTTACTTTTCAACGGTATTGATGATATAGGCTAAGATTATATACTATTTCAAGGTCAATTTCATGGAATATTGTGAAGCAGCTGATAGCTGGAAAAAGAAACATATCAAAGAAGTTTTTTCAAAGCGACACCCAACAGTACATCTCATGGGTAAACTTTATTCTGACCTTGGCTATGACCTCAACGGTGAATTTAATGTCAGATTGATTTTTTCAACCTTCAATTTTCATCCCAGAGTTGAAAATGGAGAAAAATTTCATGTTTAATGAACTACTCAACGGAGGTAATCTTTTTGGCTCTCGATTTCTGCAATAAGAAATGGGGTTCCCATTTGAAAGGTCCAAGGTCAGTAATAGATGCGCCATTTGATGTCCTGAAACTTTTGAATTTAAAGTTTTTTCTAGGAACCTTAGTTTCCGAGATATCTTGGTGTAACCATACTTTAGGGACACCCTGTATGAAAAGCCTCATCTATAAAGGACCAAAAATTACACTTAAACTTAGTTCTCTCGTTATCTCAAAAACATGCCAGCAATGCGAAATTAGGATGAGACGGTTTAGGCTTGGTATGAATACAGAAAACCATTGGCGCAATTCTGAATCTTTTTCATTTCGTTGCTCAATCCATAGGCCTATACGACTAAATAAATGTACCGTCAAGCAAATAAATATGTTTTACCTTGCATGATGGTCTGTCCATTAGCTATCGCCGCCCCATTCACAACCACCGTCTGGTGCCCATTTCCATTCCTCTTCACGTACCCAAAACTCTGAGGTACACCTCTAGCGCCCTTATTGCTCCCAGCACTGCTGCCCTTTTCTTTGCTGCCTGAATGCGAATGCGGACTGCCCTTTCGCCGTCCTGCAGGAGGGCTCCCAGGAGCAGGAGCTGGGGGCGGCTGTTGCTGGTGGTGGACAATGACGGCGGGGCTGCCCACGCCTGGGGAGTCCGTATACCTACAACGGGCATTATTGTTTAAGCTCGCGCTTTATGCCGGGAAATAAGTCAACATTAGTATAGTCAGAATAAGAGTGCAAGTAGAAATTAGATGAGTGAATTTTAAATATCACTGAACCGTTCATTTCAAAAACCGTTAGGTCAAAGTTTTTCCAAAATTATTTTTTGATGGAAAATCTGATCGTCAAAGAAGCATGTCGGTTCTTCAATTGGTAATTATTGGGAAGGCTGAAAAATAAGTTTATATATACTCAGTGACATTAGAAGTGTTACACTCAAAAAAAAATCTTCAACATAATGACTATATTTAAAGCATACTGTGGCAACAATGTCAACTCTTTATCTTTGCTTTTGTTTACCTTTGTTAAAATGTTATCTCTTAGTTTTTGTAAAGAAAGCAGTTTCTGAGAGCTGAGTAGTACAGATATTTTTAGTTATTCCTCTTTTATTTACTAGTGTTAAGCATAACAAAATGCCAAAAAATCAAGTTGAAGAGAAAATTCTTTCTGGGTGTAACACTTCTAATGCCACTGAATATACTTCTTTACGACGCCCATTTATGGCTATGTACCTTAAATGTATCAATACAGTAGAACCCCGATTATCCGAAATAATGTGGACCCAAGTGCTTCCGGATAAAACGGAAATGAATAATAATAATAATGCTTTTATTGAAAAAAGTAAATGCGTGTGTTAAGTGAGTATATACCTATATAAAATTACGTATAATATAAACATATGGATACACACATACATATTGACAAGTATTTAATAATAAATGAAGTAATTTTTAACTGTACCCGTTTTGCATTGTTCCTATCTTTGGCAGCAATATTCCCTCAACGTTTGATAAATAGCACATCAGCTGCTGTCGCATTTTCTTGTTGTTCGACGTAAGTTAACGCCTTTTGTAGAGCTTCTTATCCCTCAGAATGTGATATTTTGGCAGAGATTTCTGTCTCATTGTCACTAGCATCACTCAAAACTATCTCATCGCCATTGTTATAAACAGTTTTTATTAGTTCTGTATCAGTTAATTCTTCCACCAATTCATCACCATTAATCCACTCACCAACGTCTGCTTGGGTAAGTGTGCATCCATAATGCGAGCGTAGCGCGGTAGCGACGACGGACGCGAAATATCAAACATTATGAAACGCGCCTTTGCGTCGATAGTGTAGTGACTGATTCGGAAGCCTAGGGCGGCGGGACCTAGCGAGACAGCGCGCGTACGTGTAGTTTTCAAACGTTCCTGTTCCGCGCTTTCTGGCCACACTTCGGGCCTAATCAGCAAGCAACCTAACGCGCGGTGGCGGCGGTAACAAACCAGTTCGGGGCTGTCGCTCGGCGTATGCATGAGTATTATTGTATTGTAGTGGCCGATACTGAATTGTTTATAAGAGCAATTTAATCCAGACCACCTATTTTGCTAAGTAAACATCGGCAGCACAGATAGTTTACTTAGGATGTGGTCAAACGGGCATTCGAGTGTACTCAAAACATTTGGTAGGGTATAATCTCAGTTCTTCATACAACTGAAAAAGTTCAACAGTTGTTCAACACCTCCCATCTCAGGATCTGACTGTCTAGTAAAAATACCAAATCGTCGTCTATAGTTTGGGACTTGGAACTGATAATACATCGAACCAGCATAAGAGCTCGCGTGTCACTGTGGACACCATACGCCGCCGCTCGCTGCACCCGCCTTAGGCCCCAGTCATTCAGTATGGACGCACCTCAAGATTTTCACACTCAGCTATTTTTACGACAAGCTCATGTAAACTTTTGCTGTTATTCTCATAGTCTGCGCAAGGTTCCATTTCTTGCTTAATTATTGTCGACTAAGATTTTTTTAAAGTAGAATTTTTTACTTGTATCCATGCTTCTGCTATTAAAGATGCGACATTCTTCAGAATAATCTCTTTTAGCCAATCAACGAGCTTACAACCATCATCAACTTGATCTAAAATTTGCTCTAATAACAAACGTCTGTAATTGCGTTTTAAACTCCTTGATCCATAGGCTGAATCAGTAACTTTACATTAGGAGGCAAAGACATCACTCGTATTTCTCAACTTTTAAGTTGATCTTCACTTGGGTGGCTCGGAGCATTGTCTAATAGCAAAATACATTTTCTCGGATGCCCCAGTTCACTCACATATCATTCCGTTCTGTCTAGGGAACAAAATGATTGTAAAACCAGCCCTTAAATAGAGCGGCATCCATCCAGGCATTTTTTGATTTTTATACCACACTAGCAGAGCGTTGGGATGGACGTGTTTCAATGCTCTTGGTTTAGTTGATTTTCCGATTAACAACAAAGGAAGTTTGTGTGTACCGGAAGCATTGCTACAAGCAAGGATAGTCACACGTTCTTTATTGCGTTTGTAACCAAGAGATCCAGATTCTTGCTTTGAATCTAAACTTTTCGCCGTTTTACATTTTATAGCTTTGGCCCCTTTCGTCGCAGTTGAAAATTTGTTCTGGATTTACACAATACTGCTTCAATAATTCTTTAAAAAGGTCTCCAAATTCTCCAAATTTTAATGCACCGGACTTATCGGCAGATAACTTTTCTCCGCAAACTTTTAATTCTCGTATACCGTGTCATTTTTTTCATCTACGCAGCCAACCACCACTGGCGGTAACGTTATCAGGCGCCTCAATAACTGGCAATTCTTCACTTAAGTTGACTGCCTTTTGCTTTAAGAGTTGGTTCGGAAATTGGTATTCCCGTTCTCGATTCTGTGTAAACCACAGATATAAAGCATTATCCACTTTTTGATATTCCTTCTTTTTCATAGTTTTACATGATGGCTGCGATGATTTCAGAACCCTGACCACTTTTCAATTTTCTCGCGTTGTTTTTTTCCATTCTGAAATGGTACTCATACCCACGCCCAAATCGTTTGCCCCGTTTTTAAGCGAATCACCTCTATCTGAACGTCTAATTGCCTCAAGTTTCTGTTCTATAGTCATACAGTTTACGTTTATTTCTATGCTGCTCCATCTTAGCGATTATGAACCTGACTGAAACAAACATACACGCACATATACCAGTGAATTCCGCAAACGCGCTTGGGGAATCACCGGCAGCGAATCTAATGACGCAAACGGCGAAAGGGAACTACCGGCAGCTATTTCGGATCATGCGCCGATTTCCCGAACAACTTCGGTTAAAACGGAGAAATTATTGTATGCGATCTGTTTCGGATAATGAGGATTTCAGATAATCGCGATTGGGATAATCGGGGTTCTACTGTACATGCAAAATTAGATTACGTGACACATTAATAAGTCAATATTAAGAGCATATTTCAATAATACAAAACAAATAATATGATTAAGAAAATTATTAAATAATAAACTGAAAAGGTTATTCGGGAATTCAATTTTTTAAGACTCTTTGAAACTGGTTTATTTGTCGATGATTTTTATTGTCGCCTAAAAAATATAAATTGCATGAATGACTTAATTAAAAAATCTTGATTTCAACACTTTTTCGCTAGATGGTTTTCACTCATTTACACCTTTTTCCAAAAAATTACAAAGGCTTATAAATGTTTGGAAAGAAAATCCTTCAGTCTCTTCGCTTTTAAGAATTCTACAGCCATTGGAGCGAATTTTTAGAATCGTAGGTGCGTATTGTTAAAAATCTTTACCAAAACTGGGTAGAACTTTTAATGAAATGGAGGCTCCAATGATTGTTGAACGACCGGTTGCAGATAGATGACACCGTTGTGACCAAAACTTATACTATATTAAAGAACAATTTCAAATACATGTGGTTTCTTTGGCAAGTCCAACATAGGGGAGCATCGTTATGATAGCATTGTAAGCTTCAAATGAGTGAGCAGCTACAACGTTCCATTATTTGAGGGATTTTAGCAAAACAATATTTGTTATATTTGATGAAAAGTCCCACATCGCAAGTTGAACATTTCCACAGGATGCGTGTGACTATACCTCTTGTTTCCACCAGCTGTGTTATTGCTTGGATATCATTTCAATGCCTGAGTCATAAGCAACTAGTGATTATCGTGGTAACGTCAGAACAGCAGCCAAGTAAGTTGATTATGAATTATTGTCATCCCAGAAGACCAGTAGGCTGCGAAGGGTTAAGAATGCTTCATTACTTAAATACGAAAAGACCAATAAGTCCGGTTGCTCACCTCTTCCAGTGATGTCCTGAAGACGAGTGCTTGCCCGACGAGGACGAATGCTCATGATGATGGTGTCCGGAGGTCGACCCTCCGCTGGACGGTGACGGCGCTCCGTTTCGCGACTTGGAGGTGGCGCGAGGAGCAGGCGGGGGCGGCGTAAAGTCCCTGGAGGCTCCGCCCCCGCCTTGTCGCCGCCCACCGGCCGCCGCCTCCGCAGCCGCGGCGGCCACAGCTTGCTCTGTCAACACGCCGAGGCCGGTGCCGGGACCGGAGCCGGCGCAGGTGCCGCCAAGACCGCTGCACCCACCTGTAAGACGATGGGGTGATCTGGAAAGAAACACCTTTTGTTAGATATAAGTATAAGCAATTTAAAAACACTCCAATCCACGCGTCGTATCTGACATATACATAGGTTGGGTTTTATAAGTCTATTTAAAATTTTCTATAGACGATGCCAAAGCCTCGCTCGTGGAAAAAAACTCGTTTTTTGTTCATAATCACATTTGCTGGATACTCCTTAACATGAATCAATAGGGTGAGAGGCAGCAACCACGTTTAACACGAGGTTAGCAGCGTATTTGAGGTTAAAAATAAATCTGAAAATTCTCGTTTGCTACTAAACTTCCGAGTAGGGCACTAAAGGCAGAGCTGTTAAAAGACAACATACAGGTTTCACAAGTAACTTCACGAAATCGGAAGTTGTTCGTGAAACTTGTAAGTTGTCTCCCATCTAAGCTTTTATGAGCCTACTTTCCTACGCCGGAGGTTAGATGATTTAGTTGATTATCAGAATGAATTTCAAATTTTCCTTAACCTAAATACTCACTCAAACAATTTTTCTAAACATGTTACAAAATATGTTTTTCATTTGGGACAAAGTGTGTAAGGTTTTTTGGATTATTCTACACCGAAATCTTAAAAAACTCTAAAAATGGCCATCTTGTCTACTTAAAAACTGTGTTTAAAATCCCTATTTTTGAGGTATCAGTTATTGTAATAGCCCGCTATGAGCCACACGGATGACACTCAAGTGTACAGAACATTCAGCAGATACTTTGTCACTCTAAAGCAGCAAAACTGTCGATTTGGATAAACTTCTTGCTAAACATCAAATTTGTATCTTTCACTACAGACCTCCCACCATTGCATGGGAATCTGCTCAATCTCCAAAAGTCATTCAAAATTCAAATTGGCTACCTTAAGCTGGAAAGCAACGCATCAATCTTTCTCTTTTTAATATTCTAGGGTCAATCAAGTTACGACCCTGGTATGTTTGATGAAGTTCGGCAGTTCGGAAGTTTATATTTAATTGGATGCATCTAGTAATTCCAAAGTGGTGATAAAGAAACTTCACACATCACTTATCTAAAAAAATACAAGGCTTGAAGGTCAAAATACTATTGCAATGATAGACAGTTAAATTATCACCTGAATTTTGCCCACATGTTTAGGAAAAACCCTTCATACAAGAAACTCCAAAAAATGTAGCACAAAAGTTCCGTTACATGATTCTACTTTATTGCAACCAAACTATTTCTTATACATATATTGTAAAGGAGAAGTGAAGAATATAAGTTTAACTTGTTAGTTTAGTCAGTCATCTTGTTTACTCACATATTGAATTTCATACACAGGTACATACAGGGTGACCCATCCATGTGTGGACGGAATATTACTCATAAACAAATACATTTTGGGAAAATCTATTTATAGCATGTC